CCCAATACAAGCCCTCCACCCCTGGTGGATATCTTAGTACATTTCCTTCCAGTCTGAAAAAATAATTTGTTCATGACTTCTGCCTGTTTCTGTTTCACAGCCAATTTTTGTATCTATGTGGCCACCAACTCCTTTATTTCCGTGACTGTTAATTGATCTCTGTGTCGGTGCCCATCCCTACAGGCAACACCAGTTACATTTTTGGTGGTGCCCAGATCCCAGAGACTAATCCAAGACATGCATAATATCACAAGCAAGCCTCAATGTACCGTTCCCATGACAAAGTAAGCAACACATTCCCTGACTTAAATGAAATATTCAAGTGAATGTAAGCTCCAAAATTAACTCTGAGTTGACTGATTAAAAGCTGAGAACATGGAAACAGCTGGCAACAAATGCTAAGCTGATATATTGACTGATTACTTTTCTCTCAAGTCTTTCAGAATTTTAAAAGTTTGAGATTTTCCTATTTGTGACCTGTCCAAGATTATGCTCTTACTTCATTAAGGTTCCTCCAATTTTGGAAATTCCTCGATTTGAAACTAATGCCTTAAACTTCAAGGCAATGACAAAGGCATGAAGACAGACTTGGCTAAAGTAAACCAAGAAAATAGATTAAAAAGTATGGCAGAGAATGTTACAAACATTGAAGGAAATGCTTCATAATTATCAGCAAAGATATCTTTTGTTGAGAAAGAAATAGTCGACAAGAAGGATGAATCATCCGTGACTAACACAGGAAGTTTCCTATGGGATCAATTTTATGGCCCTCCACTGGCGTATTTGAAAGGGGTGGAATGTAAAATAAAGCCTGCCCACTGCCTGACCTGTCTCCCACTTGCAGGGTGGGTGGAGGGATAGCGGACAAGGCAATGGGCAGTTTACCGGCTCTTAGGCCCATTGGGGCCCTAATGTAGACAATTAACTCCCACTCAAAGGTCTTGTTCTGCCTCTTGTCACAACTCTTCACTGTGAGGTGATGGCAAAATAACTGTGCACAGTCTGGCAGCTTTAATAGTATGGGCTGTTGTCAGGCAGGAATGAGATGGCGACTTCATAGAGCCATACAGCATGGAAACAGCCATGCCAACTCACCCATGCCAACCAAGTTTCCCAAGCTAAATTAATCCTACTTGCCAGCATTTGGCCTATATCCTTCTAAATTTTTCCTAATCATGTACCTGTCCAAATGTCTTTTAATTGGGGCAGCACGGTGGCACAGTGGTTAGCACTGCTGCCTCATAGCGCCAGGGACCCAGGTTCAATTCCAGCCTCAGGTGACTGTCTGTGTGGAGTTTGCACATTCTCCCCATGTCTGCATGGGTTTCCTCCAGGTGCTCCAGTTTCCTCCTACAGTCACAAGATGTGCAGGCTAGGTGGATTGGCCATGCTAAATTGCCCATAGTGTTCAGGGAGATGTAGATTAGGTGGGTTAGAGGGGGATGGGCCTGGGTGGGATGCTCCAAGGTTCAGTGTGGACTTGTTGGGCCAAAGGGCCTGTTTCCATACTGTAGGGATTCTATGAAATATTGTAACTGTACCTGCATCTACCACTTACTCTGGCAGTTCATTCCACAAACAAACCAACATTTGTGTGAAAAAGTTGCCCCTCAGGTCCCTTTTAAATCTTTCTCCTCTCACCTTAAAAATATGCCTCCTACTTTTGAACTCCCCTAACCTAAGGAAAAGACTCTTGCTATTCATCATATCTATGCCCCTCCTGATTTTATAAACCTCTATAAGGTCACCCCTCAACCTCCTTCATTCCAGTGAAAAAAATCCCAGACTATCTAGTTTCTCCTTATAATCAAACCCTCCAGTCCCAGCAATATCCCGGTGAATCTTTTCTGAACCCTATCCAATTTAATAATGTCCATCCCACAGCAAGGCGAACAGAACTGTACACAGCACTTCAAAAGTGGCCTCACCAACGTTCTATACAAACTCAACTGACATCGCAACTTGTATATTGACAGTCTGAGCAATGAAGGCAAGCGTGCTAAATGCCTTCTTAACCAACCTGTCTGCCTGTGGCGCAACTTTCAAACAACCTCTAGGTTTCTGTTAGACAACACTACCCAGGGCCCTACCATTTTGCTGTCTAAGTTTATTTTCCTTTATTCATTCACTGGATGAGGGCGTCACTGCCTACGCAGCATTTATTGTCCATCCCTAATTGCGCAGAGGGCAGTTAAGAGTCAACCACATTGCTGTGGGTCTGGAGTCACATGTAGGCCAGACCAGGTAAGGATGGCAGTTTCCTTCCCTAAAGGGTGTTAGTGAGCCGGATAGGTTTTTCTGACAATCAACAATGGATTCACGGTCATCATTAGATTCTTAATTCCAGATATTTATTGAATCCAAATTCCACCATCTGCAGTGGTGGGATTTGAACCCAGGTCGCTGGAACATTATCTGGGTCTCTGGATTAACAATCCAGTGATAATACCACTAGGCCATTGCCTCCCCTGCCCTTGTTCATTTTACCAAAATGCAATCCCTCGCATTTATCCAAATTAAATTCCATCTGCCACTCCTCAGCTCATTGGCCCAAATTAACATAATCCCCTTGTAATCTTAAATAACCTTCTTGACTGTCAACTTTACCACCAATTTTGGCGTCATCCGCAGACTTACTAACCATGCGTCCTAAATTCTCATCCAAATCATTTATATACATGACAAGCAACAGTGGACCCAGCACCGATCCCTGTGGAACACTGCTGGTTAGAGACCTCCAGTCTGAAAAGCAACCCTCCAGCACCACCCTCTATCTCCTACCGTCAAGCCAATTTTGTATCCAGCTGGCAAGCTCTCCCTGAATCCCATGTGATCTAACTTAATAATCAGTCTACCATGCGGAACCTTGTCAAAGGCTTTTTTTGGAGGCTGCCCTGTACCATCCCTTTAAGATGTTATCTCCTTGCCTTGGATTGGACATAACTGAGGTCCAGATAATAATTTTAGTTTTGCAGTTGTGTTTCTAGCAGTGGCTACTACTCTCTTTTAGCCACAAGTTTCCCTAGGACAGGATGTTCTGACTCTTAGGGGGCAAAAGTTTCACTAATGAAGGCCACCACTAGTGTATTATTGCTGCAGGATAGCCTAATTTCATGTTGGTAAGGCACCAACTGGCTTTTAGGTCACAAGAGTGTGTACTCCATCAGCCCATAAAATCCACCCCATTGATACTGAATTGAAAATAAACATGTTCAGTGCTGTGTGGAATAGTGGTTGGCCAAAAAATAGTGAAAATTTCAGAATCCAGCATAGGATAACTAAACTAAAACAAAGGAGAATAAATTTGAATTTAAAAATGTACCATTCTTTGGCAAGAAATATAAACACAGATCCTAAGAACATCAAAAAGCAATCAGGTGTACTTCCCATTGATAGATGTTAGGCTAACCTGACTGCAGTGTCTTTCTACCTGCCTCCCTCCTTCTCTTGAATAGCGGCCATTCTATTTTTGGTACTTTCCAAACAGTTGGGATCTTTCCAGAATCAAGAACATTTTGGAAGATTGTAACTGATGAATCCATCATCACTGCAGCCACTTATTTTTTAAATCATTGCACACAAGACAACAGTTACAGGGGACATAATTGTTAGTCTTTTAGTCCCATGCAAACAATCATAATAATCAAAGATGCCCATGTATTAACTTGCAGCAAGTCTTATTATTTTATCCCCTCCTACTCAGTAAATTATAATCGTTCCTGGTTTTGAGATTAAGATGAGCATTCTCATTCTTCATTTCAAATTCCTCCATATCCTTGCTCCTCACTATTTCTGGCATCTCCTCCAGCTACCCAATCCTCAAAGATAGAAACAGAGAAATTAAGAACAGGAATAGGCCACTTCGCCTTTCGAGCCTGCTCTGTCATTTAATATGATCATGTCTGATCCTCTACCTCAATGCCGTCTCCTGCTTTCTCTCCATTACCCCTTAATTACTTTAATATCTTAAAAATTGATCTCTCTCTTTCTTGAAAATGTTCAGTTATTTGGCTTCCACAGCTTTCTGTTATAAAGAATTCCACAGTTTCACTGCCCTTTGAGTGAATAAACTTCCTCATCTCAGTCCTAAATGGCCTACTCTGTATCCTGAAACTGTGATCCCTGTTCCCCAACCTGGGAAAACATCTTCCCTGCATCTAGTCTGTCTAGCCCTGTTTCAATTTTATACATTCCAATCAGATTCCTTTCCGTTCTTCTAAGCTCTGGTGAATACATCCTCAGTCTAACTAACCTCTCCTCAGTGTCAGCCCTGCCTTCTCTGATATCAGCCTAGTGTACCTCTGCTGCACCCCTTTTATAGCAAGTGTAACCTTTCTTGGGTGGGGAGACCAAAATTGCATGCAATGCTCCAGGTATAGTGTCACCAAGGTCCTGTATAACTGAAGTAGGACATCTCTATTCTGAACTCAAATCCTCTTGCAATGAAGGCCCATGTACTAATTGCTTGCTGCACCTGCCTGTCTATTTCCATTGACAAGTGTATAAGTACACCCATATTTCCCAATATATCACCATTTAAATAGTACTGTGCCTCTCTGTTTATCACACCAAAGTGTATAACATTGCATCTGCTATGTGTTTGCCACTCATTCAATTTGTCTAAATCACTTTGAAGGTGACTTGCATCCTCCCATTGGTTTCAGTGCTCCTTTAATTCAGGCCTCTTATGCACTCCCAATTCAAATTACTCCACCAATTGTGACCATGTCTTTAGTAGTCTGAGGCTCAGGCTCTAGAAATTCCCTTCCTGTGCCTCTCCATTTCTCTACCTTGCTTCCCTCCTTTAAAAACACTACTTAAAATTTACCAAGCATTTGCTTATCTTACCTAATATCTTCTTATCTGTCTCATTGTTGTATTTGTTCCTGTGAAATAGTTGGGACATTGCATTTTGTTAAATATATATACCACTGTTGTTGTTTACATTGACTCAATCATACCCATCTGATGGTACGGTTGTGAGGAAGTTTTGTTTTCAGTTTCAGGGTGGAGTCTGGACACTTGGCTCAGGTCTTTGTGATTATCTAATGACTGTGGATGTGATGCTGTGTACAGCTTCAATTTTCAATCTGTGTTCCATCAGTGTAGATAGGTAAGTACTTTCCAAATTTTAAATCATTGTATCCTAAGATGGACTTTGAACTAAAAAATAATCTATGACTTGCCTCACAAAAAACATTGGGATCTGACTGAGATCAGACGAAATATTGACAGAAGAATCAAACAGAGAGATAAATAATTTATTGGAGTTTCCAGAGGTGCCAGCTCTCCAGGAGTACCCTGATGTCTCAGAATTGAAGATTTAGCTGTAGAGCAATGCTGTGGTCAAATCTCAGGAGAAAGAAAAACCATTGGGAATTAAAAGTTGTTTCTTTCCGTACTGTCTAAAATATATTTAATTATTATAAAAATGTCAGACTTGGGACCAGGTTAGACAGTTAGAAATGTGAAGCTAAGTGCTTAAACTTCCAGGAATAGGTCCAACCAGAGTTGTCAACTAACCTGCCAAATGTAGCGATTTTAGTCAGGGATGGGCCCATGCCACTCTTCTGTCCTTAGGTCATCAGTGCTGAATTACAAATGTTCTGGCTCTGACAACATAATAATGAAAAATATTCAGAAGCATTTCTCATTTCTCAGGTACTAAGGTAATCTATGCAGTTAGATCTGGACAACTTTCAGGCTTTGGGGTAAAGAGTTAAGTGTACCTTTACTCTAATATTAGCTGCTGAGTATGTAGAATCATAGAATCCCAACAGTGCAGATAGAGACCATTCAGGCCATCAAGTCTGCACCAACCTTCCAAAGAGCATTGTAGCATCCCCCCCAACCCATTGCAATCTCACTTAGTTTGCACAATACAGGCAATTTAGCCTGGCCAATCCACCTAACCTGCACATCTTTGGACAGTGGGATGAAACTAGAGCGCCCGGAGGAAACCCACACAGAAACAGGGAGAATGTGCAAACTCCATACAGACAGTCGCCCAAGACTGGGATCAAACCTAAGTCCCTGGTGCTGTGAGACAGCAGTGCTAACCACTGAACCACTGTCACAATGAATTATGTCATGACATCAGGTAACATGGGCCTGTGACTCAAGTGTGTAGGGTTCTAGTGATGTCCTCTCCTGCCATTTTCTGCACACAGGTCGTCGATGTTCACTAACATGGGTGTTGACTACATTCAATCAACAACCCAGATGATGGTGAGTGGTCATCAGATCTAGAGAAACAGTGGCCAGCAGCAAGAGAGCAGCTGAAGAGAAGCCCAGTATAAGTAAAGCACCATAGGTGAAGGATGAGGCTAGCTCACCAATCTGACTGCAGAAGTGTGGGCAAAGCTAGAAGAGAAGCCTATCCACCAGGGACAGCAGTGGGTGAAGGACTTTGAGACCAATCCTGTCACTGGACTTTAGAGAGGATACCTCAAGCAATATTGAAAAATCACAGAAAAGCCCACAGCAGAGAACACAGAAGCTGAAAAGTCAGTTGGCTGCATTGCATGGTAGTCCTCGGTAGACTAGACGTCTTTATAGAGTTACGAAATGAAAAGGCACACAGAAAGTCCACCAGCAGGAGAATCGGGGATAACTCAATAAGATACAAGAATAAAAATAGGCTATTCCATCTGCTCCATCATTCAATGAGATCATTAGTAATCTTTTAAACCTCACTTCCACTTTCCTGCCTTTTCTCATAACTCTTTATTCCCTTATTGATTAGAAATCTGTCTATCTCAGCCTTGAATATACTTAATAACCCAGCCTCTACAACAGTGTGATAAAGAATTCCACAGATTCACCACCCTCTGAGAGAACAAATTCCTCTTTATCTCTGACTTAAATGGGTGTGGCTGTCTTCCTCTAGTTATAGTTATTTCTTATACCTTTTTGCCCAGGGATTATTAGTAATTTTGGAATGCTATTAGTGTTTTCTACTTTGAAAACTGATGCAAAGTATTTATTGAATACTTCTGCCATTTCCTCATTCCCCATTATTACTTCCTAGTCTCATTCTGTAAGAAGCCTATGTTTCTTTTGGCCTTTCTTTTTCCTTTATACATACTAAAAGAAGTTATCAGTCCTGATATTACCTGCAAGTTTACTGTCAAAGTATATTTGTTCCCTCTTTTCTTTCGGTCATCTTTTGTTAGTTTTTAAAGTTTTCCCAATCCTCTATTTTACTGGTAATGTTTGCTCCATTGTACACATTTTTTCTTTCAGTTTGTTGCTATCCTACCTTCACTGGTTGACAATCGTTGGCTTATCCCCTTCCTAGAACCTTCTTTTTTTACTGGAATATATTTTTGTTGCGACCCATGACCTATTTTCTTAAACAGCTGTCATTGTTCCTCAACAGTCTTCGCTGTTAAACCCCTTTCCCAGTCCACTCCAGCCAGCTCTGCCTTCATTCCTTTGTAATAACCATAATTTAAGTTCAACAAAGTTATTTCCAGCCCAAGTTCTTTTTTTCTCTCTCAGTTTGAGTGCTAAATTCTACAAAGTTATGGCCACTCTTTCCTAGGGGATCTTTTACTCTGAGGTTATTTATTAAACCTGCCTCATAACACATTATTAGATCTAAACTGGTTGGATCCACAACACACAATTTGAGGAAACTGTCCCAAATACAGTCCATAAATTCTTCCTCATGGTTTCCTCTGGCTATCTGACTTTTGCAATCTACATGAAGATTAAAGTCACTCATGATTAATATACTATTTTCTTCTCATGCCCTCATTATCACATGATTTATTCACGAGGACCCTGTTTGGTGCCGGCTTCACTCAGCAGGAATGTTTCTGTCTCTCCCTCTCTCAGGTTTATTGCTGTGTTGATCCCACTGAATTACAACAGGAAACATGTAGATCTCCGGCAGATAGTCTTGATCTCCATGACCTGGATCCTGGCGTTTGCTGTTGCCTCACCGATTGTCTTTGGGCTGAACAATGTTCCTGACAGAGATCAGACTGTGTGTCAATTGGAGGATAACAATTATATCATTTATTCTTCGGTCTGCTCCTTCTTCCTCCCCTGCCCAATTATGCTGCTTTTGTATTGTGGTATGTTCCGAGGCCTCAGACGATGGGAGGAAGCACGGAAACGCAAGCTGAGGCATAACTTGCATGGTTTCAGGAAAATTAATGGAGACCCCTCGGAGCCGCAGAGTCCTCCCCCGCTAATAGACCGAAGTCCGACGCATGTCAAACATGAAGAACTGCATCTCTTTCAAAAGTCAGACTGTGATTTATCAAGACAGTTTGTGGACAGGTCCATTCAGACTGTAACTTTTTCAGAAGTCAAGTACGTTCGCTCACGCCTAGGGAACAGGAGGAAGCGTGCAAAGATTAATGGAAGGGAACGCAAAGCAATGAAAGTGTTGCCCATTGTTGTGGGTGAGTCTCAGGCACTGTGTACGTTGTATCTGGTTCTGTCACCAATTCATATTTTGTTCCATGGCTACTGTTTAAATTCAGCCTTGCTCGAGAACAGCTGGAAGTTCCAGTCAGTTCTAATGAAGCTTTAAATATAGAATCCCCTCTGCATAGAAGCAGGCCATTCAACCCATCATGCCTTTGCCAACTCTTTCGTGAAGTTATCCAATCATTCCAACCTGCAACCCCAACCCCCTCCAATTCTACCTCCATAACCCTGCAGAGTTTTCCCCTTGATTATTTCTTCAACTTCCTTTTGGAAGTTAATATGGAATCAGCTTTTTAAGCAATGCAGTCTAGATCACAAGAAGTTACTGCCTAAAAAAATTCTCTTTATCTCCCCTTGGTTCTTTTGACTGTCGTTTTAAATCTGTGTCTCTTCGTTACTGACCCGTCTGCCCTTGGTCACAGTTTCTCCTTTTAACTAATCTATCAAAGCCCTGCATGATTTTGAACAGCTCTGTTAATTTTCCCTTTAACTCCCTCTGCTTTAAAGAGAACAACAGTCTTCTCCCATCTTTCATAATAACTGAAGTCCCTCATCCATGGGAGCATTCTAGTAAATCTCCTCTACAGCCTTTCAAAGGCCACTTCATGTGTATTGTGCCCAGAATTGGACGTAATACTCCTGCTGTGGTTTAGCCAGTATTTTATTAAACCTACTTTAATGGATTACTGTATCAATATTTGTATTATTGATTTTAATATTGTTATCTGACTTCTCTCATTTAGGAAGTTGCTGTAAGTTAGAATCTCATTGGCAGATTCTTCATTTACTGTAACTTTTGTGTTAGAAGGACACATTACTTGGTCACCTAGTTTCAGGAAAAAAACTCTACTTATATTATTTGGATATACACATATCAATTAGGAGTTGGAGTAGGCCACTCAGCCCTTTACCATTCAATAAGATCATCGCTGATCTAATTGCACCACATTCTCACCAAACCCTGAACACCTTCCACCCCTTTGCTTATTCAAGAATCTATCTACCTTTACTCTGAAAGATTCAAAGCTTCCACCACCTTTTTGAGGCAGAGAATTCTAAAGACTGATGAATCTCTGTGAGAAAAATATTGTCCTTCTCTACGTCTTCTGTGAACTTGAAGAAAGTACTTTAACATATTAATTTTTGCTTCAATTTTTAGTTAATATTTTACCAATGTAGCCAACTTAACTTGGTGTAGACAAACTTTTCTGTCCCTCACTGAGGGGTTAGCTTAATATTTTATTTCTGTTACTGAACAGCTTAAGGCGATGAGGTGACATGTCAGGTTTAATCCTGAGTGAATAGAATCCACACGTCGTAGATAGTTAGTGACATGAGTGTTTGAGCATCCAGTCTAATCTTGTATCGGAGGCATTAATCCCAGCAGACAGAATGCAATGCTGTGTTCAGCAGCAGCACGTTGAGGGCTTTAGGACTAACCTTTTAACAGTTTAGGATTCCAGAACTTAGAATCCAGGCAGCTGGAGGCAAGTCTGCAAATGGTAGAGCTAATAAAATCGGGAACAGGCATGAGGCAGACTTGGAGGAGGATGCAGATCATAAGAGGTGTGGGGCCTAAGAAGATTACAGAGGTAGGGCGGGGTGAGACTGTGGAAGAATTAAATACATGGATGAGAGTTTTAAAATCAAGATGTTGCTGATGTAGATCAATAAGCCGGTAACGGGTGAATGAAAGTCGCTGTGAATTAGGGCATAAGAGCATTGGATAACTGAGAGGTAGGTGAACTGAGAGAGTGTCAGCAGCAAATGTGCTGAGGCAGCTGGTGATGGGCAGTGTCTCAGAGGTGGAAATAGGCAGTCTTAGTTACAAAGAGGAAAGGGTTTGAAAATTATTGAGGGGGTCACATTTGGACATTGTTATTTCTATACTTAGCTCCTTAGTTCCTTGATAAGAAAGTTGAAACAACATCATTCCACCCATTCAATCAGTTCACCCATTCCTCCCACGGATCACGTAAAACAGACAAACATTGATGTGTTCTGGCAGTGTTTGAGGTTGCTAGTTTCACCTGTATCTCAGAGATTAGCAGATATCACAGGGCAACTGGGGAATGGTTCTTACTCCAAACTGGGGAAGTGCTTCTTCTTCGTTCAGTCATGGAGTCATAGAGTCAAAGAGATGTACAGCATGGAAACAGACCCTTCGGTCCAACTCATCCATGCTAACCCGATATCCAAAATAAATCTAATCCCTTTTGCCAGCATTCATATCCCTCTAAACCCTTCCTATTCATGTACTATCCAGATGCCATTTTAAATGTTGTAATTGTACCTGCCTTCACCATTTTCTCTGGCAGCTCATTCCATACGTGCACCACCCTCTGTGTGAAATATTTCCCCCATAGATGCCTTCTGAGTCTTTCCCCTCTCACCTTAAACCTATGCCCTCTAGTTTTGGACTCCTCTACACCGTGAAAAAGACGTTGTCTATTTACTCTATTCATGCCCCTCATGATTTTATAAACCTCTATAAGGTCACCCTCAGCCTCCGATGCTCCAGGGAAAATAGCCCCAGTCTATTCAGCGTCTTCCTATAGCTCAAACCCTCCAAAGCTGGCAACATCCATGAACCCTTTCAAGTTTCACAACATCCTTCCTATAGCAAGGAGACCAGAATTGCATGCAGCATTCCGATAGTGGCCTAACCAATGTCCTGTACAGCCACAAAATGACCTCCCAACTCCTACTGTCAATGCACTGACCAATAAAAGCAAGCATACCAAATGTCTTTGTCACTATCCTGTCTACCTTTGACTCCACTTTCAAGGAACTATGCTCTCCAAGGGCTCTTTGTTCAGCAACACTCCCCAGGACCTTACCATTCAGTTTTTAAGTCCTGTCCTGATTTGTCTTTCCAAAATGCAGCACCTCACATTTATCTGAATTGAACTCCCTCTGCCACTCCTCAGCCCATTGGCCCATCTGCTCAAGGTACTGTTGTACTCTGAGGAAGCCTTCTTCACTGTCCACTACACCAACATCTGGTGTCATCTGCAAACTTACTAACCATTCCTCCTATGTCATATACAAATCATTTATACAAATGATGAAAAGCAGTCATTGAGCAAACTGGCTGAGACAAGCAACTTAATGGAATGAGGTTGTTTTAATTTGAACAGCAATCAGACCAGGAGTTTCCCAATAATTAATCACATGACTGTTTGTCTCTCTGTCACATGAAATGATCCTTCTCAAGATACCAGGCAGCATTAGCCCGAGCTGGGCTAATCCCATTAACCTGCTTTCTAAACACAAAGCTATTAATGATTGAAAGTGGGGAAAACAGAATGTTAGTTTATTTTTCATTCTGGAGGGCATTTAAATTTGTAACATAACCAAATAGTTCAGTGATAAAATATAGCATATTGTGTGGCTTATGAGCATATGATTCCTGAACATCCCACTATAGGCCTGTTTCCACACTGTAGGGATTCTATGAATATTCCATATATATCTTTCAAAGGACAATGCAGCAGCCTATCTCTACCAGTATAAGACTGAATTAGATCAAATCCTTGCTAACCCCCTTTTAACAATTAATTTTTTGTAAAGGTATGAACTGTGAACAGTTACATTATTTGTTTAATGATTGATGCGCTGACTCTGTAAGATACTGAGGCTCAGAGACCAACCTTGAAAAGGGAAATGGGGCGTAGGAGCAGTTTGGATTCTCACCTGTCTGCAGGAGGCACGGTGACTCAGTGGTTAGCATTGCTGCATCGCAGCACCAGGGACCTGGGTTCAATTTCAGCATTGGGTGACTGACTGAGTGGAGTTTGCACATTCCCTGTCTGTGTGGGGTTTCCCCAGGGTACTCTGCTTTCCTCCCACAGTTCAAAGATGTGCAGGTTAGGTGGATTGGACACGGTGAATTGCCCAATGTATTCAGGGATGTGCAGGTTACCTCTTCAGAGGGTTGGTGTAGCGTTGATGGTTCAAATCACCTGTTTCCACGCTGTAGGGATTCTGTGATTCATGGCAGATCATCAATCAGGCAGTAGTATAATGTTGTATTGGATTTGGGTTGTGATACCAAATGCACAATTTGAGTGAATTTTCACAAGCGCTCTCCCACACCGACATGTAAACAGCTTTCTGAAAAGATTACAATAAGATTTGGCAGTGGAACAACTGTCACACCAAGGAAATACACAAAGCAAGATGTTAAATTAAAACAATACGTTTTGTAACTTGTTTTTTTTTTGATGAATGTCACTCAACCAGATCACTGTATAGGCATCAGTGATAAAAACCCACCTCAGCAAGATTAACAAATTATCAATATTATATAGTGAGCATTATATAATTGACTCCAATTTCCACTCCAATTGCACACCATCCTGATTTGGAACAATATCACCACTCCTTAATTATTGTTGGGTCAAAATCCTGGACCTTCCTTCCTTACAGTTCATCCATATCTCCTTCTGTGGAATTCTCTTTCTTGGCATTTCCCAACACCTCTGTTCAACCTAAATCTTCACCCTCCCACCAAGCTCTATCCTGTTCTTGTGGAAAGGTGACCATTAAACATCTTTCCAATTATCTTTGTTCCGCCCTGGAATTCTTCTATCAAATGCTTATTTATCAATCTTATACATGATTATTTCCTCCAGTTTCTAAAGTCTCTCCTCATAAAAGGGTCTATTTCTAGCTCTCAGTTTGATTACTTGGTTTCTCACTGCACCCCTCTACTGCCAATCTTAATATGACACCAGAACCGGACCAAATGTTTGAACTGTGTTGAGCTCGTGCTCAAGTTTCATTTCAGGACTTCAGCTTAAACATTCAAGCTGCTATTTAGTGCAGAACTGAAAGAGTACGGCGCTGTCAGAGAGCCAGTACTGAGGTCATGTTGTACTGTCAGAGGAACAGTACTGAGGGAGTGCTGCACTGTTGGAGGGGCTATTTTGAGAGTGTATTGCTCTGTTGGAGAGACAGTACTGAGGGA